GAGGGGTCCTTGTGGACACTGGTGGGATGTCCCTGATTGAATGGGGGATGTAGGGTGATAACTGGTGGATTCAGAGTGGGCATGAGGTCCATAGGACTCAGGGAGGTCAGGAGAGTTCATGTTCAAGAGGCTTCTGGGCCAGATTTTACAGGTGCGACTGTTCCTCGAGCTTCCCCCGATGTTAAAGGTGAGGGTGTGGAACTGGGTGCCAGTGGCAAAGGTGGATAAAGTGGCACATAGGGCAGTAGCATTTCCTCAGGCTCCTTGGCCAGTACAGGCTCCTTTGACTTCTCCCTATACTTAGAAGTTGCAGCCACCCTAGCTACCATGATCCTACAGGTTTCTTCCAGACAGGGCCTCAGCCCTGTGAGCAGGCTGAGAACTGCATCCCACCAGCAATCAATGTAGGGAAACTGGTCTGGGTACCCAGGCTTTCCTACAATTATGCTATAAATTTCATTGACTATAGTATTGTCTAGTGATCCTTCTGGGAGCCAGCCGCTCTATACCAAAAGTGGGCCAGTCTAATTCACAAACGGCCCTAAGCTTATTAGGAATTAACTTGACTCCATTAAACCCTTTTTAAAGTTTTGAGGTATACATTCCACCCATTTCCTTCCATTACCAAACATCAGTACAGAAACAAAGGGGTAGGGGTTTTGGAGGAGAGGTAAGTGATCCTCTCCTCTGACACACAGGGCAGAACAATACATGACCTTTATCAGTGACCTGGACACAGTCACCCAGTCAGGAACTGCACCTACACAGGGTCCTCATTTGCTTTGTCCCTCTCTGGCCACTCTCCTCATGGGGACTTAGGTGTCTCTTAGCCATAGTGAATCTGTATAATCCCCAGACCAGAGACCCTGTTAGGACTCACTCTAGACTATGTGAGTTCACCATGGACCCACAAATCAGGACTCAACTTTCACTTTGTAGCCAAGCTATGTCTCACTTATGCACATTCACACTTCTGCCCCACTCCCTGAACCTGAGAGATATGGTTTCACCCCAAATAGGGTTACTCAGGTGTCTCTAGGAGGTGATCAGGCTCCCTCTGCCTCCTCAAGGCAGTTCTATTATTCAAACCTGGTTTCCTACTAGTCTGATGGGCATGGTTCCCAATTAGTTCCTGAGCCTTCTCCAGGTTTCTTTGTGCAACCAAGACTCAGTCTCCAGTGTGCCAGGAGAGGCAGTTCTCTCCATTAGATCAACAGGTCTGCTGGTGCCTGGCAGGATGCTCTCCCTACAAGCTGGGTGTGCCGAGTCCTGGCAACAAGGAGGTGAAAACACCATCTCCAAATCCTGGGCAAGAGTCCCTAGAAATGTTGCAAGCAGCTCAAACGGGAGACAGGACACCAAGGATTTTTCAGGAAGCAATTTTATTTAGTGAGCTGATAGCAGCTCAGCAGATTTCAATAAAGTGGAAGAGAAAGAGGAGAGGAGACTGATGAGCAGTGGTTGTCCATTTCATGCATAGATGCTTTCTGTCTATCTGTGTAAATCAAAATGGAATAATAGATACAGATTCTTGAAATAGAGATTTCTTAGCAACTCAGGCTTCTATAACAAAAAATATCATAGATGGGTCACTTACAAAGAACAGAAATTTATTTCTCACAGTTCTGGAGGCTAGAAAGTCCAAGATCAAGGTACTGGCTGATTAAGTGTCTGGCGAGGGCCATTTTCTGGTGAATAAATAGCTGTCTTTTCAAGGTGGACTCACATGGTGGAGAGGACAAAGGGTATCTCTCTAGGTTCCCTTTTATAAGGGCACTAATCCTATTTATCCACCCTCAAACCAGACAAGGGCCCCAATATCATCTATATAATCAATTCCTAAAGATCCTACCTCCAAGTTTCATCATACTGGAGATTATGTGTCAAAATATAAATGGGGGCTTCATAAACATTCATCTTAGAGAAAGGACATGTTGCAAAGAAAATGAGAACTTTCAATGTCTAAAAGTTACTGTTTTCCAATAGGATTACCTGTTTTAACATGGTTAAAACCAAAAAAGTCATATAAAGTTAGACACTGAGAAATCTCACCCCTCTCTGTATGCACTACCCTGCTTTTCCTGGCCCTTATAAGTAACCATTTTCAGTGTTTTTAATGTAAATTCAAATAATTAAGAGTATGTATTCTTTTCCTAACTTTCTTAAACTATATAATAAGTATACTATATGCATACCTTACTTTCTTCACTTATCAATATATCATATACCATATATTGGTATATGGAAAGTCTCTTTCTTGTTTTTCTTTTGTCCTGTTTTTTAAATCACTGTAAGAATTCCATTGCACAGATTTACAGAGTTTATTTAACCATCCATCCTATTGATGGATGTTTGGGAAGTTTCCCAATTCTTGGCTGCTACAAACAATGCTTCCATTAATAGTTTTGCATGTAGCAATGTGCATTCCTAGAATTTGGATTGGCAAATCAAAGAGTAAATGCTTATGAAATAGTAAAATATAATCACAGATTGCCTCTATAGAGGTTTTTATCATTTGCAAAGATATTATAACCAATCCTATTGAAATGAAAATCTCAACAAATCTCAGGGGTCATTGGTAGGAGTGAGAGGGAAAAATCCTAGTGTTCCAAACTGAGAAGTATTGAGACTGGGAAGGGGAAGAAAGGGGAAAAGTGAAATTATTCTCAGATATCTAGGGATTTACTTTGAATAGACCTTTCTTGCAATGATCAAAGGAAAGATGTTAGAAGTGTAATATATATGACTATTTGGACAGGTGGCTGAAGGCATGAATAATTGATTATTGATGCATTCGTTTATTCATTCATTCAACAATTATCTGTTGAGCACTTACTATATAATCTGTGCATGTTAGCTCAAGGGGGATTCCACAGTGAACAAGACAGGGTTCCTATTCTTACCCAGCTTAACATTCTATTAAGGGAGCTAGACCATTAACAAGTAGACAAACAAATACATAATATGATTTTAGATCATAGTAAGCACTTATTGCAATTAAAGCAGAATAAAAGAACTAGAAAGTACAGGGAAGATAACATTCTATTTTAAAGAGGGCGATTGCAACAGGCCTACCCAAGGAGTTAAAGTTGAAGCAGACATTCGAATGACTTGAAGGAATGACTTGGACACAGCATCTCCAGACATAGATAGCAGTGCATATATAAAAGTTCGAAATCCAAAACCTGACATGAAGCAAAATCTGTTAGCCACCAAAATCTGTTAGTAATAGTGTTGACTTTGGGCCACTTCTAGATGGATAAATACAAAGTCCCTCATGGTGAGAGTCTTCCTGGGAATACCTGCTCTCCGCCTCAAGCCATCCTTTCCAGCCATACCCCATTCTTCACCTTCTCTGAATGTCCTAGCATGCCTCACACCTAAAGTCCTCTGCAGGACATGTTTTATCTTAGCATGCACTCCCTCCAGCTGCTTCTAGCTCACTTAGAGAATTTCTCCTCATGCCTCTGGAACCCCTGACTAGTAGGCAATCTCAAAGTTCTCAACACCAATTCCTATCAATTGTCATCAGATTTGTCTGTGGAGGCTAGCCTTACCAGACTTCCAGGTCAAGTTCCAGGTCAAGGGCTATCTCATTTACTGTTGTTTCCTGAGAAGTTACAATAGGCAGTCTCAATAAATATTTGTTCAATCAATGAGACTGGAATCAAATCTTGTACTAACTTATTAGCCACCTAGCATGTAACTTTGAACAAGTTATATAACTCTCTGGGTCTCAATTTTTCATTTTAAAATGGGCATGCCAGGACTGGGGATGTAGCTCAATGGTAGAGCACTTGCCTAACAAACAGGAGGCCCTAAATTCAAACCCCCAGTACTGCGAACAAGCCTAAAATAAGCACAACAGTATCTGTCTTTCAGAGATGAAGTGGTTAAATAACATCACATATGAAAAACCTCAGCACAGTACATTGTACAACGTAGATGCTTTTAAAAAAAATCATTCACTATTCTAACCATTTTACTATCTACATGTATCCCATAGCATCATTTTGCAAAGTTCAGGAATAAACAATGGAAAGAGAATCATTGCTAAGAATAATCTCTGGGCTATTCCCAGTTTCACCCCCAAGTAGAAAAAAAAATCCACAAAGAATCTGCAAAGAAGGGAAAGAAATTGTTCAAGGCCCAATAAGGAATCTATATTATTTGCAAAAATAAAATTGTAGTTCCAGTATTCAGAAACCTGAAGAGTTATGTAAGAACTCAAAAGTTCTTAACTTGAATGATGATGTGGCATGACTCAAACTCTTGTCCATTCCATCTTACAAGACTTTTTCACTTATTTAGCAGTTAACCAAGGTATAATTAATGTATCATAAACTTTCCCCTTTTAAAATGTGCAGTATGATGGCATTTGAAATATTCACAGAATCAACTTTGGAATATTTAAAAGCCTTTTATGAACAGATTATAGAGATTTTATTACTGGTCTATAAAAATATAAGAAGGTCTTTATGTATCAAGAATAATTTGAAAGTAAGAATCTTCCTTGACAAAACCACTTTGAATTGTATATAATTAATATACAACACATACAATTTCATTTTTTTTATGGATTCTCCTTATAACCAATGTGCAAAACCTTTTCCTTGCTGCTGTCAAATTTCCATGGAGGCCCCTAAGCCTAGCTCCAGTTAGTGAGAGGTAAAAAACAAACACATACCCCACAGTAACTGTGATGAAAGGCCAGGGCTTCTGATAGCTTCAGAAGTTCATAGACGAGGACATCTTCAATGGCTATGCTAACTCATGTACAATTTCTTCCGTTTCTGTTCCCTTTTTGTGATTGTTCAGAATATGTATTCTGGTTTCTTGTCCTCATTCTGTAACATTTTATCTTATTTGTGTGCAATACTTCTCTCTTTATTTCCCTTCCATCCTTAAGCTATCGAACTTTGGAACTTTTTAATGTCTTTTATATCCTAAGTCTACATATTGTCTGAGCAATATTTTTTTTTATTTATTTATTTATAAAGGTTGACTATGTCAAAGGAAGATTGTGGTATAATGAAAAATGTTTTGCTAACAGAGAACCTTTTGAAGGTGAGTTTTAGTTGAAGATATATTAAGAGGGGCTGGCAGAGTGGCTTAAGTGGTAGAGTACCCATCTAAAAAGCTTGAGGTCCTGAGTTTAAACTCTGGTACCACAAAAAGAAGTTCTAAGATATACTAACAGACATTTTTCAATATTGATAATATATATATATCCATTAAATAAAATGGCATACAATAAAAATTTAATAAAATGCATCCAAGAAGGGGGGATGAGAGAAAGTGATGAAGGGAGTGAATCTACCTAAGATATATTGTAAGCAATATGTAAATGTCGCAATGAACCCACCCCCAAAGCTAATATATGCTAATAAAAATGTAAAAGAATGTAAAGGTAAGCTTTTAATATAAACCAATGGCCTAAAAATGAGGGAAGATCTATTTTAAATTTTGGACAACAAGCCCACCTGCATAAGTGCAAGAAAAAAAGTGTTTTCAAGTATACATCAACCAGTGATACACAACTTCTATTGTTTTTCATGGAGACTCCTTTATTAGCACTAAGCTTCTAATTCTAGAAATACAGATGTGCCCATAATTTCCAAGCCTTTATATTTTGCAGTTGATTATGTTACTATCACCTTTGAGAGGAACAAGACTCTAAGTGAGGTATGATATTGAATATTTTGAAAGGTAAGAAATTGATTATGCATGACTTTGCAAATTGTTATTAATCTAAAAAAATGACAATACTGCGTACTGAAAGGCTTAACAATCAGTCTTTGCTCCCCAGGGTGTCTCTGAATGGATTTAATGATGGTTATCTAATTATATTAAATCTAGACTTCCACAAGGATTCCAAACAAACAGTCCTTGCTGGAATGAGATGCTTTGCAGTGTTTTCTGAATTTGTATCCCCAGAAGAGAGGCATACACCTTATAGACTTAAAAATATGATTTGTGGTCAGTCAGGACAGCGCAATAATTTATTAGTTTATTTCCCTATGATATCTAATTAGGACTTACATTCAAAAACAGCATTAACTTTTCCTTTCTTTTTTGTAGGCAAGCTCTTGTTTTTATGGTAAAGAACCATTTCTTAACTGGTTACCTTGCATACCTTACAATGTTAAAGATGCAAAATTTTTGCCAACTGTGATAACATTTCTTATTGACCAAGAGCAGAATACTGGAATTTACTTCTTCTACAACTTGGTAGGTCTTATAGCTCACAGGTGATTGCTGTGACACTAGAGCAATGCAAATTTACCTTAGCAAAGTTGTTTCCACATTCTTTTTTATTTTTATTTTTTGGTGATACTGGAGTTTGAACTGAGGGGCTCATGCTTGCTAGGCAGACACTCTACCACTTGAGCCACTCCACCAGCCCATTTTTTTTGCATTGGGTATTTTCAAGATATGGTCTCTCAAACTATTTGCCTGGGTTGGCTTCAAACCCTGATCCTCCTGATCTCTGCCTCCCGAGTAGCTAGGATGACAGGAGAGAGTCACCGGCGCCCAACTTCCAAATTCTTACTATCTTTAGCAACAAAACTTGATAAAACTGGCTACAGAAAAATTATTTCTGATAATTAGTATAGTGTGACACTTCAGAAGTTTCTCACCTCTGATTGTCATTTAGTTTAATAAAAATGGACACCATGGCTGGATGTAGTGACTCACACCTATAATTCCAACTACTTGGGAGGCAGAGACTGGAAGGATCATCATCAAAGCCAGACTGAGCAAAAAGCAAAAAGTTAATGAGATCTCATTTCAGCAAATAAGCTGGGTGTGTGATAAACATCTGTAATCCCAGCGAGGTTAGAGGATCATGGTTCTGAGGCTTGTCCAATGCAAAAAAAAAAAAAGTGAGCCCCTATGTGAAAAATAACCTAAAGCAAAAAGAGCTGAAAGGGTGACTCAAGTGATAGAGTGCTTACCTAGCAAGTGTGAGGCCCTGAGTTTCAAACCCAGAGCTGTCAAAAAAAAAAAAAAAAAGAGAAAAGAGAAGAAAACACGGAAATCATGATGCTGATTGTGTAGTGATTATCCTTTGCTAATTCTCCAGGAAAATATAAGCTGAATATCTTCCATATAATTTAAGATTCCTTAAAGTGGATAGTTAAGATGCACAAAAAAGGAACCCATTGCCATAGGTCTGTCTTATTTTCTATTCCAAAGTTCTTTAACTCTAGCTATGAATTAGAACTATTCTCAGAACCATGAGAAAATACATAGCTTCTGCTCCTACCCTTGAGATTGTAGAAGAGAAAAAAAATTTCTTATATTCAGTAATGGGACCCTGCAAATTAAAATGACAAAGGACAAATTAATAGGAGAAAAGAAAACAGTTTCTTTATACATGTATCATGCCTGTGTATAGGAGAAACTCAGTGATGAATTACTCAAAATTGTATTTAGCACTTGGCAATGATAAAATGATCTCAATAGCTGAGGGTGAGGACTGGCACCCTACAAATGCCACTTTGGTATAAAGTAATTGTAAGGTGAACATTTTTTGAGATTCAACTGCTGCATTTGTTCTGGGAAAACAAATGACTTGTTTGATGGGTAACTAGTTTTCAGGGGAGCAAACAGTAGATGAGAAGGCAAATGTTTGTCCATGGAGGTATCTCCTTCAGGACCCTCATTCTCACCTGAAGAGGGGATTTGGGGTAGGTTTTGTTTTCTTTTTTCTGGAGAGAAATTGATGGCAGTCTAATTTCCCAGAAGTTGCTTTTAGTCAGATTGGGGAAGTTCCTGAGAGACCCTTTTTTTTTTTTTCTGCATTATTTGAATCAAAAGTCTTCAGCTTAAAATGACCTCTGTACCAAATTAGCCTATTTGAGGGTGTCATGTTCTGATCCCCTTCCAGATCACAACCCACTAGAATTGGGGTATGAGTTAGGCATCTACACTTTGGGCATGACCATGATGAGAACTGGCATTAGAGTCTGTCTGCCACGTTCAGTAAGGACTCTGTAATAAACCTCTCTGTGCCGTTCATTACAGAACTTTGGATAAATTAGTCTCCTAAAAATTCACTTCAGTATCTACAAAATGGGCAGGGGAGAGTAGAATAAAGAGGTGTGTATGACTGCCAATCCTTTCAGTTCTATGGCATGTTAATGGATCTGTCCCATCTTGATCAAAATGCAAGTACCCAGAAAGTCTAAAAATTGTAACATGGACTAGTAATAATGGAAAAATTCTTATGATCCCCCATGCTTTTTTTTTAATTTAGACCACCAGACGTATCTCTTGTGCTGTGAGCATCCTAAAAAATGATGAATCAGTTTTCCAGATAAAATTTCCAACTTTCCAGTTTCCTTACTCGTTCTCTATCCCTACTGGAATGGTGTTTCATCCCCGAAGCCATTTTCTGTATGTTTATGGCAATCAGGTGTGTACCCATGAAATTTCATCCTCTGGTGTATAGGTAAATCAAGCACTTACTCTATGCTAAATAGTTGTTCATAAAGGACATAGCCACTCTGGTAATCTAGGTAGGAAGTAAAAGTGGGAGGGAAGACAGCAAATTTTTATTGACTACTTACTGTGTGTTACACTTAGTAACTACTGTCAGCCTTTAACCTTCAATTGATTCACTGAACCATAGGTAACCAGAGCTCTTCTTACCTTTGCTACTATAATACATTTCTTCCCAACTCTGAATGACCTAGAGTTTGCCATTAACTCTGAAAGTGTGTTTCTATCTGGCATTTCCAGCATTTAACATTGGCCTTTCTTTATTTGACTTTATCTAAGCATCATTTTCTGGCTGTGTTAGTTTCCTGCTTCATTTTTTGTTGTTTTGTTTTGCCTTGTTTTTTGAGACAGAGTCTCACTAAGTAGCCCACACTACACTGGAATTTACAGTCCTCCCTCTGCTAGCTCCCCAGCCTTGGGATTACAGGTGTGCACCACATACCTAGCTCCTATGGCTCCATTGTTCTTTATGCTCCTCCCACTAGCATTCTCCAGCTTTGGGTCTTCCTGTCAGTTTGTTATCAGTAGCCTGAAAGCTTGATAAAGGACTTTTTACAGTACCTAATGGACCATTAACCAATTTAAAAGTAAGGAGCACAAAATATGAAATGTTAAGTAAACTTTGGAAATAAGAATGGACTTCAGTGGTTTCCAGTGAGAGCAATGAATTCATTTTCTCATTGACATTTCTCAAATAACCTGTGAGAATAAAAATTAAGATGACTTTGGTCAAGACAGGGAACAAAGTTTCTCTGTGAGATTTAGGGATGGCATTTGACAGGTTGTGGTTTACCTCACAGATACTAGTTCCTCAACCTTTAACTCAGAAATGAAGAATGCTGTTTGGATAGAAAGTGTTTAACAAGACCCCAGATTTCAACAGTGTCCAATTCTGGGACTTCTGCTGACTTGCTAACTATCTTAGAAGATTTACTGCCCACTGATAATCCCCTTGCAATGGCCCTCAATCACATGTGGAATAACTCGATGTATAGAAAGACCAAATTCATTCAAAACAACTTGGGTAACTAACAGAACCAACCAAAAACCATTTTTGAACCCCTTACCCCCCTTGTTTCTCCAAACCAAGTCCTCTCACCCTTGATGGAATACCTGATTGTTTCTAACTGAACCTGTGTCTCCCAATTTGCCAATCTATTCTATATCTGAATAAAAACTGTCTGAATTTTAACCTGACATATGATTTCTTGGTCTACAATCCCTATTCTATATGAGATTTAGAGATTTGAAAGGTGGTGCCCTGTTTCTAGACCTTCATAGAACTCCCTTATTTCAGTTTTTACATTGTTTATTTAGCCTTTGAATTTTGGTTACTCTTATATGATGCACACAGTTTACATTCAGCTGTGTCCAGGTTGTCTGACCTATAGAACAAACAACCATATGAATAACAGTAATAGTACAAGGGGGTTCATTGTAATATCTCCATAGATACCGTGTACACTGAATAAGTTGCATTCCAGGACTTTATTTAACACCTTACTGTCATTTTTTTTGGTTTTTTTGTTTTTTTGCTCGAGTGGCTGCTTTGTTGTCTTGTGAAATTCCTAGACTCATGGATTGAAAACTAATGATTTTATAAGAAATTACTGTACTCTAAGTTAGGGGCTCACAAGTGTGTAGATCAAACACATTGCCAGCAGGCTTTGGCTGTGGGCAATATCTAGTCAGGATTGAAGTCAAAGAGCCTTCCTTACATGTTACTCTCAAAAACTATACTTATATAAAACTATATAAGAAATGAGACCAGTAGTTGAATGTGAGGAATTTAGGAAGGCCAAGGAATCAGAACAACTCTGTGAGAAACAAATGAACAATAACTAAAACCAGCCAGAGTCTAATAGCTGACAACAACGGTCCAAAGTAAAGATATAAACTGCCATGAGAATCATGGTGTGTACTTCTGAGCAAGTAGCTCTATAAAACAAAATCTAAGGTTGTGTTCTCTTGCAGGAATGCCCAGAGTGGGGAGTAAAAGATGCTAGTGTGTACTGTTCTCTTGGGCTAGTAGTCTCTGTTTAAGTTCAGTGCGTACCCTGCATTTTTATAAATAGTTCAGCTACTTGTGATAAATGTAAGACAGTAGACATCGTATTCCTTGTGCAATATGATGAAAATGACCTGCAGGGATGTATCACGGCATCAGAGAAAAATATGGGCGGGACTCTATCGAATCTTCCTAAAATCCTTTTCAAAGTGATCCTAGGGCTTGAACTCAGGGTCTTGTGCTTGCTAGGCAGGTGCTCTACCACTTGAGTCACACCCTAGCCCTTTTATATTTTCAGTTTTTTTCAAATAGGGTCTCACAGTTATTTCCAGGCCAGCCTGGGCCTTGTTACTCCTATTTATACTGCCTGCACGGCTGATCTGACCAGAGCATGCCACAATACCCAGCCTTTTCTGCTGCAATGTGATCTCCCTTACTTATTGCCTGGAACAGGAATCTGGTCTCCAGATCTCTGCCTCCCAAGTAGGTAGGATCACAGGCATGAGCCGCAATACCTGGCTCCAAAAACCTTTGTAATATAGTAAGTAAGCACTCTCTAATCATAACTCTTTGGATGTTTTGATGATTTCTGGAAGGCATCATTCAGTCTAAGCACCCATCTCCTGAGGAGCTCATTGTTGACACTGAAAATAGCTATTTCAGTAGAGTGATGCTAGTGATTGCTTATAATTGAGTGCATCTATATGCAATTTCACACTCTGGGAAAGATGCAAATTGTCTGCTTCCTCTGTGCAGAGTGCTTATACATTGATTCAAAGAACAGTCACTGTGGGGATCAGGGAGGTAGAAAGCCTGATGAAGAGAGAATGAGAAGACAAGAATTAGATGCTATGAACACAAACAAATCATTTCACGAAGTTTTGCTAAAGAGTGAAGTGGTGAAGTGGGGTACTGTTTAAAGAGAGAATGGAGATGAAGGGACTAGTTTTCTAAGTACAGGAATAGTTGTGCTGCGTGTTAACGGGAACTCTTCAGGAGAGATGGAAGATATGATGATGCAAGAGAGAGAGAAGAGTAATGCTTTGAAGTAGGTGAGAGAAGATGGGAAGTATGCGCTTGTGGAGAGACTGGCCTTACGTAACAGCTCAGACATTATTCTATGGTAATGGGAAGGAGCATTTTGGAATCAGAAGCTGGTAGTTGGGTGGACACGGTAATGGAAGATTGTGGAAATTATCTTCTATTTTCTCAACAACAACAAAAAATTAGAGTGAAGATACTGAGATAACAATATATGGACCAAAATGTTACGGAAAGAACTCTAAAGACTAGTTGAGAAGCTACAGGACCCAAACCAACATAAAACAAAGGAGAAATTCCAGCAAAAGGGAGACATTTGAAAAGTCACAAATTTCTTTGCACATCTATCTGTGTCTTTCTCCTATCTGACTTAATACAGTGCAACTGAAAGGAACCTCCCACACTAGGGATCTTCCCTCAAGACTGAAACAAAGGCATAGAGGTCGCCTGAGGGACTCAAAGTGCTGATGGGATCTTGTTGGGAAACCACTGAAATCAGATATGATCACTGTGACACATGAGGACTGCAATTCCACAGGCAGATACGAGAGACAATGAGAGGTCACAGGCTTCTAAGAGGACATCAGGACATGCTGCTCAGAGAATCTGAGACAATAGCACACACACAAACCAGAAAAGACACATGCTCAGAAAAAGTTTGGCAGTTTCTCGGACTTCCAGCTAGGCTGGTGGGTGAAAGTTTACAGGAAGCCAAACCATAAAGACTGGGCAAAATGTTTGTTTTTCAAATGCTCAAGACTCAACAACAACCATGACAACAAATTATAAGGATACAAAGAAACAATGAAACATGGCCCAATCAAAAGAGTAAAAGAAAAACCAGAAACTGACCCTAAAGAAAGGCAGATCCATGAACTCACTGCCTGACAAATAATCTAAGATGACTATAACTAAGATGCCCAATGACCTATAAAAGAGAACACAAACAGAACTTTTTAAAAAATCAAGAAAAACAAGGCATAAACAAAATGAAATTCAGTTAGGAGATAGGAACTTTTAAAAAGAACCAAACAAATTCTGAATAACTCAACTGAAAATTTCACTAGAGGGGTTGACCCATAGCAGTTTTTAGGGGGGTGGTGTGTAGGGGGTTCAGACAGAAAAAGACAAATCAGGAAACTTGGAGGCAGGTCATTTGAAATCATTGACTCAGAGAAGAAAAAAATGAAAAAAAGTGGAGAGAATTTAAGGAGCACTTGTCAAGCAAATCAATACACGCAGTGTGAGAGTACAGGAAGGATAAGAGGAAGAGAAAGGGAGTGAGACCTTAGTTGAAGAAATAATAGGAAAAAAGCCCTTCCCAAATGAGGACAGAAATGAACATACAAGTTCAAGAAACTCAAAAACTCCAATCAGGACAAATTCAAAAAGACCCACACTAAGACACATCACTATCAAATTAACAAAAATCAAAGGCACCACACACAAGGGAACTGCCATGAGGTTGTTAGTGGATCCCTCAACAACAACAACAAAATAATGTTGGGGCTAGAAGAGAGTGGGATGATATATTTAAACTCTTGAAAGAAAAAAAACTACCAATCAGAAAACTGTATCCTGAAAATTGTCCTTCAGAAGTGAAGAAGAAGAGCTGGGGATGTGACTTCCTAGCAAGTGCAAGGCCCTGAGTTCAAACCCAGAAAGATCTCATCCCAACAAACAAGCTAGATATGGTAGTACATCCCTGTAATCACAGATGTACAGGAGGCCAAAGTAGGAGGATCGTGGTCCAGGCCAAGCAAAAAGCATGAGATCCTATCTGAAAAATAACTAAGGCAAAAAAAAAGGTCTGGGGGCATGGTCAAGTTGCACAGTGCCTGCCTAGCGATTAGTTCAAACTCTGGTGTATAAGACTTTTCTTAATTATCTGCCTTAATTAATACAAATAAACTAAAGCTGAGGGGCTTTGTTACCACTCACCCTTATCTGAAAGAGATGCTAAAGAGAACATCCAGTTCTTAGGTAAAGGTAAATTCATGTACAAATGCAGAAACATGTGAATGTCATCATGGAACCTAAGTTCACTTCTAATTCTTGTGTAGAGTTAGGGTAAGTCAAACTTTTTTTTTTGGTGGAACTAGGATTTGAACTCAGGGCTTCACACTTGAAAAGCCAAATACTACAAATCTACTTTAATGTGTATACAGTTTATACATATGTAATTTGTGACATCAATAACACACAGTGGATGAGAGGTGGAGCTGTCTAGGAATAGAGTCTTTGTATGTGATTGAAGTTATCTGTTCAAAGCAGTGTTATAATTTTTAAATGTTTTATGCAATTGCAATGATAAGCACAAAGAAATTATTTATATAGTATGTACACAAAGAAATGAATGGGGAATCCAAGCATGTCACTACAAATATCAACAAAATGTATAGGAAAGCAGAAATAGAGGATAAGGGGCATAAAAAACTATAAGACATACAGAAAATAATTAACAAAATGAAAACAGTAAATTCTTCTGTATCAGTAATTCCTTTACATGTAAATAGATTGGCCAAGCATGGTGCTTCATGCCTATAATCCCAGTACTCAGGAGGCTGAGGCTGAAGGATATGAGATTAAGGCCAGCTGAGGCTAAACAGTGAGACCCTGTCTCAGAAGAAAAGAAAAAGAGTAAATGGATTAGCTTCCCAATCAAAAGACAAATTAGCTGAATGTGGTCTCTCTCTCTCTCTCTCTTTTTTAAGAAATTGAGATAAACAATGTGTTATCTACAAGAAATTCACTTTAAATCTAAGGACATAGATAGGCTGAAAGTATAAGAAAGGAAGTAAAACTATTCCACACAAATAGCAACCAAATGAGAAGCTTGTTACTTGTATACCTTCCTTTAAAGAAATGTTAAAAGAAAGGCTTCAGAAAAGCAGAAAATGATAAAGTCAGAAACTTGCACCTACATCAGGAAAGAAAGAGCACTGAAGAAAAAAAATAAGTGGAGGGAAAATAAAAGCATTTTTCTTAATTGACCAAACAAATAGTAGTTTGTTCAAATTAATAATATCAATAATGGATTTGATTGCATATATCTCTATGTATGTTTGTATAGATACATGATAAGTAGATAGGTAGGTAGATAGATAGATAGATGATAGAAAGATGGATAGATGCTTGCATATAGGTCAAATAACTGATAGAAATGACACAAGGGCAAGGAGGGAGGAATCAGGATTGTTTTGTTATTATAAGGTTGTCACACTGCCCAGGAATCAGAATAAAGTGGACATAGATGAGCTATAAATGTGTACTGCTGGGCTGGAGGTGGTGGCTCAAGTAGGTGATAGAGCTTCCACCTAGCAAACATGAGGTGCTGATTTCAAACCCCAATACTGCCCCAAAAAATATGTATCATAGAACTGGAACAACCACTTTAGAAAGTTTTTTTTAAGTATAACTAATATGTTAATAAAGAAAATAAAATTAAATTTAAAAAAATAAGTGGAAAAAGAATAGACGACAAAATGGGAACAAGCTGGGCACCAGTGACTCGTGCCTGTAATCTTAACTATTTGGGAGGCTGAGATCGTGAGGATTGTGGTTTGAGGTCATTGCAGACAAATAATAGTTCATGAGATCCCCATCTCCAAAATAATCAGAGCAAAGAAAAAATGGACAGGGGGTGTGGCTCAAGTGGTAAACTGCCTGCTTTGCAAGCACGAAGCCCTGAGAGCTAACCCCAGTCCCACCAAAAAAAAAAAAAGAAGAAGAAAGAGAGAGAGACAGAGAGAAAAAGGAGGGAAGGAAGGAAAGAAGGGAGGGAGGGAGGAAAGAAAGAAAAAAATGTAACAAGTAGAAAATAGTTACAAATATGGTTGATATTAGTCTCACTAAACCAATAATCGCTGTGAACATCAGTGGTCTAAACACACCAATTTGAAGACATAGACTGTCTGAGTGGATCTAAAAACAAGATGAAACTATATGTTTTCTATGAGAAACCCATTTTAAATATAAAGTCACATATAGATTAATAGTAGATGCATGGAGAGAGATATACCATGCTAACACTAATCAAAAAAAGTAGGAGTAGCTTTATTTCAGACAGAGCAGACTTCAGGATAAAAGAGCATTAATAATGACAAAGGCATCAATTCTCCAAGAAGATATAAGCCTTTAACATGTGTACATAACATAAGAGAATCAAATAAATGACACAAAAACTTGTAGAACTACAAGGAGAATTGGATGACACCATTATATCTAGAGACATCAACACCCCTCTATCAGAAATGAACAGTTGCAGCAGGCCAAAAGTCAATAGGGACATACGAACTCAATGACACCATCAATCAATCAGAATTAAAGGGCATCCGTAGACTTCTTCATCCAGCACCAGAAGAATACAAATCCTTCTCAAAGCTTCATGCAACAGTCACCAAGATAGACCATTCCGGACCATAACACACACAATGTCTGTTCTCAGGCCACAGACATTCTGGAGCATAATGGAGTAGGAATCAGTGACAGAAACAAAATCTAGAAAAATCTCACTCAAAATAGTTGTAAATAACATCTGGGTCAAAGAAGAAATCCCAAAAGAAACTTTAAAATATTTTGACCTAAATGAAACTACAACTTACCGAAACTGTAGAATATAGCAAAAGTATCCCTTAGGGGGAAATTGATTAGCACCAATGCACATATTCAGAAAGAAAAAAGATATAAAATCACTCACTTAGGCATCTAGAAAAAGATGATACATATCCAAATGCACACAACATTCCATCCTTCTGTGAACAAGGGAATTCCATCTGGGAGATCATGGTAATGACTTTGTTCTCTTATGCATTCGCCATGCATACGGTGCAGACCTGATACCCAACCACAAACACTGTCACAGACTCTGGGATGGAAATAGAGGGTAGGTCAAGTGGGTGAGGAGTCTATATGTGTGTGAGCATGTTGGTGACAGATGGGAAAGATCGTGCCATATGACTTTTCTTATGTAGGAAGAAGAGGTTGATGGGTAATTGCTGACTGTTCATAGCAGCCCTGCAGTGAGATATTATCTTTTTATTCTCTTAGTTATGGATTTCAATGGATGGCGGCAACACGTTCGAATTAGTAGCTGACTTTTACGGTGGTGTCATAAAGAGCATCTATCATAGCTTTTATACTTCAGATATTGCTCTCGTTGCCAGAAATGGAAGGGTTTACTTAACAAAGGCAGGTAAGAAATTTGCCTTTATTGGTGTACTCAGTGTACGTGGGCCAGCAGTTGGAAGATAGATGAAAAGCATGCCTCTTCATCTAGAATAGGATTACTATTCAAGTAATCCTAAAGTCTCAAACCTATTATGGGTGTTGGATTTGCAGAATCTACAGAAATAAGATCCTGCTGGTGGGAGTGGCTCAAGTTGTAGAGTGCCTGCCTAGGTGAAGTCCTCAGTTCAAACCCCAGTACCACACACACACACACACACACACACACACACACACACAAGATTTTTAAATTCAGAAATTAGATCCTACGAACACCTCTGAAGAAGAGGAACCCTGGATCAACATTTACAACTCCAATGTCCTGCTTTCTTTTCTCAAACCAAATAATAAAATGCCACTTAAAAGATACAAATGTGCTCAGCGTGTTACAAACAGCATCTCATGCAATATCACAGTCACTCTGCCGAGACCACACACGTGTAAGAGAAATTGTGTGATTGATATCTTTCTCTCCATCTTCTTAATTTGGTAATCTTGTGATTTCATTGGTCAAGTCAAAATAGCTCCTGTGAATTTGTTTGCACAATGAAAGAAACAGCTAATAACGATTGACCTCACTGACAGTGGTCCTCTTCCAACTCCAATGACTTTTGCTAACTAATTTAGAAGCCTAGAATAAAAAAGACACATGATTCTTAATTTTGTTTCTAATATCCCTCTGAGCTGCATTTTTTATTTTCTCACTCTACTGTTCAGTCTTTGAGATCTTGTTTTATTGAATTTATTAATTTACTAAGGTCTTTTGATGCAAAATGTGGGGACAATTTTACCTCCTCTGTGGGGATATGCTTTGTATCATATGGAATTTTATATCTTTTACATATCGTGAGTTTCTCTTCCTTCATGTCTCCTCTCCCACCTTTTTTGTCCCTCTTCCTCCATCACCTCTTTTATTCCTCCTTAATATTCCTTCTTCACCTAATTCATCATTCAAGTGTGCAGTACTGGTCAGAGCTTGCATTTGCTTTAACATCATATAGATGAACTATTCTCCAGACTCCTTTCCTCACTTAGGTAAGACTTGGACACTTTCTAAATTCAGTGCAGTGCTTGGAAGCAGTAAACCTGCTTTTACTCAAGAGAGCTTGATTGTTCCCCATTATTTCCCTTCCCATATGTTCCCATCCACCGTCACCTTCTCACCTATCAGGAGGGTATCACTAAGTGTCCTCAGAACTTCCTTGATTTACCTTGCTTCTCTCTGTGTTGCCTCAAAGGGTTTGGTGTAGGGCAGTGTGACCTGTTACAACACAACTTTCTCTTTCTTTCCTTAGATCTTACATTTCTACATTTTTTGGCATAAAATTGTTCCTTTTGCTTTCTTGATTGCTGCTGGTATTTCTTGCTTTTGTTATTCATTCATTCGCTTTGTGGGAAAATAGAGGTAACGTAAAATTTAGCTCACTAACCTTTTTTGATTGGGCAGTACTGGAGTTTGAACTCAGGGCTTCATACTTGCTAGGTAGGCACTCTACCACTTGAGCCCTGCCCCTAGCTCTTTTGGTTTTAGTTATTTTTCAGATAGGGTCTTGCTTTTTGCCTGGCCCAGTCTGGGACCATAATCCTCCTACCTATGCCTCCCTCATTGCTGGGATCACAGGCTTATTGGTTGAGATGGGAGTCCTGGTAACTTTTTTCCCAAACTGGCCTTGAACTATAATCCTCCCAAGTAGCTGGGATTACAGGTGTGAACCACCATGCCTGGCCCTGTATTAACCATTTTTAAGTATACAATTCTGTGACAGTAAGTGCAATCAGAGTGTTGTTTGACCATTACTTATAACCATCCTCTGAACTTCATCTTCCCAAATTGAAACAATGTACCCATTAAACACTAATTTCACATTGCAGCCTATATTTTGCCACAAGTTTGTCATATACAGCCTTTATTATGTTGAAGTATGTTCTTTCTGTCCCAAGTTCTTCAGAACTTTTATCATGGAAGGATGATGAAGGCGTTTTCTGCATCTCTTGAGATGACCATGTGGCTTTTGTACCTGATTCTGAATATGTATATATTATATTTATTGATTTACGTAGGTTGAACCATCCTTGCATCCCTGGAATGAAACCAACTTGATCATGGCATATGATCTTTCAATATGTAGTTGAATTTAGTTTGCATGCCTTTTATTGAGAATTTTTGCATCAATGTTCATCAAGGAAATTGTTCATAATTTTCTTTTTTTGGTTGTGTCTTTATCAACTTTTGGTATCAGGGTAATACTGGCTTCATAGAATGAGCTTGATAGTATTCCTTCCAGTTCTATCCCTTTCTATTTTTATTTATTTATTTATTTTTATTCATATGTGCATAATATGTTTGGGTCATTTCTCCCCCCGCCCCCTACCCCCTCCCTTACCTACCCCTGTCCCCTCCCTCTCCCCCCAAACCCCCTTGATACCCACAGAAACTATTTTGCCATTATCTCTAATTTTGTTGTAGAGAGAATATAAGCAATAATAGGAAGGAACAAGGGTTTTTGCTAGTTGAGATAAAGATAGCTATACAGGGAGTTGCCTCACATTGATTTCCTGTGCATGTGTGTTAATTTCTAGGTTAATTCTTTTTTTTTTTTTTTTTTTTTTATTATTCATATGTGCATACAAGGCTTGGTCATTTCTCCCCCCTGCCCCCACCCCCTCCCTTACCACCCACTCCGCCCCCTCCTCTCCCCCCACCCCCTCGATACCCAGCAGAAACTATTTTGCCCTTATCTCTAATTTTGTTGAAGAGAGAGTATAAGCAATAATAGGAAGGAACAAGGGTTTTTGCTGGTTGAGATAAGGATAGCTATACAGGGCATTGACTCACATTGATTTCCTGTGCATGTGTGTTACCTTCTAGGTTAATTCTTTTGATCTAACCTTTTCTCTAGTTCCTGGTCCCCTTTTCCTATTGGCCTCAGTTGCTTTTAAGGTATCTGCTTTAGTTTCTCTGTGTTGAGGGCAACAAATGCTAGCTAGTTTTTTAGGTGTCTTACCTATCCTCACCCCTCCCTTGTGTGCTCTCGCTTTTATCATGTGCTCAAGTCCAATCCCCTTGTTGTGTTTGCCCTTGATCTAATGTCCACATATGAGGGAGAACATACGATTTTTGGTCTTTTGGGCCAGGCTAACCTCACTCAGAATGATGTTCTCCAATTCCATCCATTTACCAGCGAATGATAACATTTCGTTCTTCTTCATGGCTGCATAAAATTCCATTGTGTATAGATACCACATTTTCTTAATCCATTCGTCAGTGGGGCATCTTGGCTGTTTCCATAACTTGGCTATTGTGAATAGTGCCGCAATAAACATGGGTGTGCAGGTGCCTCTGGAGTAACCTGTGTCACAGTTTTGGGTATATCCCCAAGAGTGGTATTGCTGGATCAAATGGTAGATCAATGTTAGCTTTTTAAGTAGCCTCCAAATTTTTTTCCAGAGTGGTTGTACTAGTTACATTCCCACCAACAGTGTAAGAGGGTTCCTTTTTCCCGCATCCTCGCCAACACCTGTTGTTGGTGGTGTTGCTGATGATGGCTATTCTAACAGGGGTGAGGTGGAATCTTAGTGTGGTTTTAATTTGCATTTCCTTTATTGCTAGAGATGGTGAGCATTTTTTCATGTGTTTTTTGGCCATTTGAATTTCTTCTTTTGAGAAAGTTCTGTTTAGTTCACTTGCCCATTTCTTTATTGGTTCATTAGTTTTGGGAGAATTTAGTTTTTTAAGTTCCCTATATATTCTGGTTATCAGTCCTTTGTCTGATGTATAGCTGGCAAATATTTTCTCCCACTCTGTGGGTGTTCTCTTCAGTTTAGAGACCATTTCTTTTGATGAACAGAAGCTTTTTAGTTTTATGAGTCCCATTTATCTATGCTATCTCTTAGTTGCTGTGCTGCTGGGGTTCATTGAGAAAGTTCTTACCTATACCTACTAACTCCAGAGTATTTCCTACTCTTTCCTGTATCAACTTTAGAGTTTGGGTCTGATATTAAGATCCTTGATCCATTTTGAGTTAATTGGTATAGGGTGATATACATGGATCTAGTTTCAGTTTTTTGCAGACTGCTAACCAGTTTTCCCAGCAGTTTTTGTTGAAGAGGCTGCTATTTCTCCATCGTATATTTTTAGCTCCTTTGTCAAAGACAAGTTGGTTATAGTTGTGTGGCTTCATATCTGGTCCTCTATTCTGTTCCACTGGTCTTCATGTCTTTTTGTGCCAGTACCATGCTGTTTTTATTGTTATTGCTTTGTAATATAGTTTGAAGTCAGGTATTGTGATACCTCCAGCATTGTTCTTTTGACTGAGTATTGCCTTGGCTATTCGTGGCCTCTTGTGTTTCCATATAAATTTACAGTAGATTTTTCAATCTCTTTAATGAATGTCATTGGAATTTTGATGGGAATTGCATTAAACATGTAGATTACTTTTGGGAGTATCGACATTTTTACTATGTTGATTCTACCAATCCATGAGCATGGGAGATCTCTCCACTTTCTATAGTCTTCCTCAATCTCTTTCTTCAGAAGTGTATAGTTTTCCTTGTAGAGGTCTTTCACATCTTTTGTTAGGTTTACACCTAGGTATTTGATTTTTTTTGAGGCTATTGTAAATGGAATTGTTTTCATATTTTTTTTCAGTTTGCTCATTGTTAGTGTATAGAAATGCTAATGATTTTTCTATGTTGATTTTATATCCTGCTACCTTGCTATAGCTATTGATGATGTCTAGAAGCTTCTGAGTAGAGTTTTTTGGGTCTTTAAGGTATAGGATCATGTCATCTGCAAATAGGGATATTTTGACAGTTTCTTTACCTATTTGTATTCCTTTTATTCCTTCTTCTTGCCTAATTGCTCTGGCTAGGAATTCCAGTACTATGTTGAATAGGAGTGGAGATAGTGGGCACCTTGTCTGGTTCCTGATTTTAGAGGGAATGGTTTCAGTTTTTCTCCGTTAAGTA